CCTCAGCTTCTTGGGTGCAGCTCGCTAATCGAAGGCCTGGTGGAAGAACTTCGTCTTTCAGGCCCTGCAGAACTGTAAAAGGTCCCACAGGGCCCTGATGTCCTCTGGGAGCTCATTCCACCAGTACGGAGCTGCCACTGAAAAGGCCCTGGCCCTTGTCACAGCCAGCCTGGCTTCTCTGTAGAGATGTTACCCATTAATAAACAAAGCATTGCAAAGGTCCTTGTTGCAGAAGGCCAAAATCTAGGAAAGCAGCAGCTCAGTGCAGCCAGGCATGGGGCAGACTGCACTAAGAGATCCATGGCCTTTGGCATTGTCATAAGGAGATATTTCCATGACGGCTAAAATCGAAGACCTCCCATTTGAAGGCTGAGACCTGTTTAGTGATCGAACTGATATGGTCTTGGTCCGCATTAGGAAGAATGAGCTGACGGCAAAGTCCTTGGGCATAACCAATAGTTTAACGACACCATATAAGCAAAGGTACTTCCCAAGTCATACCCAGAGGTATCACCAATCAAGGTCCTATCATGTGGCTTTCTGAAAACCCTTGGAGAGGAAATAAGTGTGTCATTGGAAGGGGCAGAGCAATTAACTTAAAACAGTGCTATCTCCGCTCCATTTTGAGCACCCATATCAGGAGATTCAGTACATTCTGGAGACTCTCTGACACTTCAGTCAACTTTGAATGACTGCCTTGAAGCTACCAGGAAGCAATTTGAATGGCCTTCCTTCCTCTCTTTCTTTCTCTCTTCTTAACTAAAGTTAGAACAAAACAGAAAGGGGGAGATAAAAAATTAAAATGACTAAATAAGAGTTTGAGAGTGTGAAACCCAGATATATTAACAGAGAAAAGTCCATCTATATGAGGATAAAGAGCTAACTATGATCATAGCAAATAATTTTTTTAAAAAAATTCTATTAATTTTTTCAAACAACCCCCCCCCAAAATATTACAAAAAAGAAAAAAAAGAACATTACCAAACATGGGAATGAGATTACAAAAGAGAAATACACAATACAAGAAGGCCGTGGTCAGACGTGTCTTTAGATCTGACTCAGCTGCAAATGCCTGACGGATCTAAATGACATGATTAGACAGCAACATCTGGGAAAGGTCCCATAGCCATTGGCAACCCATGCTGCAGAACATGCCATCAGGATGGTCTGCTCATTCCACGGCCCATGGACAGGCTTTCCCCTGCCTGATCGCTCAAGCACTTTCTCATGCCATCAGGATGGTCTGCTCATTCCATCCCGACTGGGTGCCGTTCCCCCCCCCACTTAGCAGTATGCATATAACTGCATACTCCATGGGGGACCCTCAGTGTGGAGGTGCGATTACTTGTTTATGCACATGGGAAACAAAAGGCAAAAAAAAACCCCTACTTGGCTGAATGTGCCATCTGATCTGGCAGTGATGGGCTGAGCCTGCAGCTACAAAGGATGTGTGATTGCGCAACACCATTTCAATTTCAACTGGAGGAAATAGGCTTGCTTCCCCTCCACACCAAGTGGCACACTTGATTGTAGCCAAAGAGGGCAATGTTGAACCAGATTATTGATAGAGAACTTGATATTCAGCATGGCTCCTGTGCAGGGATCGTAGCAAATATGTTCTGCCAAAACATATTCCCCTTTCTCTTAGGTACAGAACATACTCAGAGTTGTTATGTCATAGATTTTTTTTTAAATGGTCTTTTCAATTTTATTTAGTGCTGTGGTCCTATTACTATTTCTAGAAAGCAAAGAATGTTGCTAGATTTCTCAAAATGCATTTTTGTTGGTGTTTTTTAAAATTATTTTTAATTATTTTCTCAAGGGGAAAAAAGTGGGATACAGAAGGGAAAAAGAAGAGGGGGGAATATAGATTCCACAAGTTTGTTAAGTATTATGAATTGTTATTTTATTTTATTTATTTATTTATTAGATTTTTACCCCGCCCTCCCAGCAATGACAGCTCAGGGCGGTTTACACAAT